GCCCAAACAAAAAACTCAAAGTGTGACCAGTACAAGTGTAATGCAAATCTGGAATGCTCTGTCGAACCAAAGGAATGTGTAAAAACAATGCCATATATTGAGATGGATTGCTATATCGCGAAATGCAATGAAAAGACTGGACAATGTGAGAACAGATTAAGTTGTGATACATTCTCTTCATGTGGAGGCGGAGCATCTGGAGAATCAATCTGTTATTGTAACGCGACGACGAACAATAAATGCTTCTGCGAGAAGAAAGAAGGCGATAACAATTGCGATAGCAATAAGAACGAAATATGCGATTACACCCAAGACCCTCCGAAATGTGTTGTATCGAGATGTAAGGAGGATTTGACTATCTCTGGGTGTCAATACCAGAAATGCAATGAAACCACTGGAAATGCATATTATGTTGACATTGAATGCACTGAAACAATAAAGGAAGTAGATAGCAGATGCAAAGACATGTTTACTTATATCTGTATGGATGGAAAGTGCGTTGTAAAGGCGGTTGTATCTGAAGATGAGCTGAAGGTAGAATGTGGGTACTGTGAATACAACTCTGTCTCAAATAGTGTGGTATATATTTCTAATTGTGAGAAGACACAAAGCAGATGCGGATCTTTTGAAGGAAAATGCATCGAAGGAAAATGTGTCTATCCACAAAGTGTAAGTGCTGATCCAAACGTATTCTGTCTTAATTGTACTTCTCTTTTGTGTGGTGGAGATTTGGATGTATACAAATACAGTTATAACGAGGTGACAGGATTGTGTAGCTATTCGTTAATTAGTCAAGTACCACAATGCTCTGTCTGCTCGGAACAAAAGTACACTTCAACTTGTAAAGGCAAAGAATTGGAAAAAACTTGGACATCTGAAGAGGGAGTCTCGATGAAATACAAGATACCAAAGGATTGTAAGAACGACCAATGTATCCCAAGATATCCCCTTACATGCCAAGAGTATGATCTATTTGGAGAGATATTAGACACGTTTGGAAACTGCAGAGATTATATGCGTGCTTCATACCATTACAGCAGCAAATTTGATACATACAATTTTGCATATGGATATAAGCAAAGTGAAATTTTCATGGACGAGGCTGACGAAGAGGCGTATTGTGAATGGACCTTTGAAAAAATCAATTGCAAGAAATGTGTTTCCCACCCCTCGAATGGCAGTTTTGAAGATATAGATGAGTGCCCCAAGAGAGAAAATGGTGTTGACTATATCTGTTTGAACAATGAGTGTATTGTTGACCCCGACTTCTCCTGTCCAGTCGAACACTGTGTTGTCAAGAAAATGAACGAAGACAACTCATGTGAATTTTTGTATGATATGTGTGAAGCCAATGAACTGAAAGTTGAAGACGCCAGAAAGGTGCAAAGCGAGAAATACGACAAAATCGGGAAGACGATGTCATGTGCGAATATTGAATGTCTTGGGACCCGCTGCCCGGTATTTGCAAACGACCAAATGTGTCAAATTAACGAAGGTGAACATCCGGACTATGGTTGCAGAGTATCGCTTGAGAGGTGTGATACTGCGAATGAGGTCTACTGGTGTAAATTTAAATCAATTGTAAAACCGGAAGAAGACAACAAATACTTCCTTGAGAGGGACAATGTCAAATTGAATAACAAGTGCTTCAATTACTATTGTGAGGAGAATTGTACAGGAGAAGGGAAGAATTTGACCTGTGAACACCACTGGAAAATCGATGAAAGCATCTCAAATGCAAATCCACAACCCAGAAATCCGTGCGAAGACGCAACATGTAACGCATTGACTGGAGAAACTGAATACGCAGAAAAACCATGTTTTGTCAGTGAAGAATTCCCAACTTTGACTGCAAATCAAGCAAGATGCTTCTACTGCAAGTGTTCATATATCGATGGATCACCTTCACTTATTATGTACGCAGAAACTGAAGACGAACATTATGAATTGGATCAATGTGGGAACTGTAAGGTGATGAATCAATCAGATAGAACACAACAACTGAATCAAAAGGTGGAGTGTGTGTTGAGTGCGGAAATGAACTCGTCTGGTGCTATTGCCGCAGCCACTACTGTTGCTGCTGTTGTTGCGGCGTTGGTTATTGGAATGGTGGCAGTCTCTATTGGTATATTCAATACATACCAGTTGATCACCTCTGCTATGAAGAATGTTGTGTCAGTAGCCGCGGAAAATCCACAGTTCCAGGCTGCTGAAAATGTAGCAGATAACACCAACTTTAATGAGTAGATTGAGTACGTTTTGAATTGTTTTTTTATTATTTTTAAATTTGTCTAATAAATCAATAAATTTTTATTTTTCAACTTTTCAATGCGTTTTTGCATTGGTTTGTTATAAAATTATGTTTGATAATAAAGAAGTTAAGAACAATCAAAGAAATATTCAAATACAAAATTTGAATGACAACAACACAAACAAGCAAAATGATGGTTGACTATTATTAATGTTCGTGATGTTGAGGATTGTTAACACTTTTTAATTAGAATATAACAACAGATGTTTGATAACAATAAATATAAATATAATTAGAGATATGCTGTTAAAAAGAGGTGGTTTAAAATACTAAAAAAACATTATGTCATAGGAACAATAATCAAACGATTTTTTAACGTCTAAAAGAAGAACATATTTCAAGGAACGAAAATAAAAAGTATTTGTATAAGTGTTGGATTTGGATATAAAAAATGTGAAAATAGAATAGTATTTTTATAATTTCATAATACTAATCGAAAGATAGAATACAACTTTTTTAATAAATTGTATTCTATCAATTATCACTTGATAAAGTAGATAATTCATTTTCTTGAAGTAGAAAAGTTTTCTCCCAATTTTAAACTTTAATAGAAATTAATTGTTGAGAGGGAAGTTTCTGTGTTATATTTTTAGTGCTCATTCGTGAGGGAAAGGGTGTACATATCATAAAGAATAAATACACAAGGAATAAAAAGCCTTTAAAGAAGAGGACTATCTAAAGCATTGTCTATGAACAACTTGAACAAAAGAAGATCATTTAAGGTCGTTTCAAACACAAGAATATCAAAGCGCATTGTTGTGAAACAAAATATTGATGAAACACGTATTCAAGACTATTTCGACTGGTTGTTTGAACAATTGGATTCTGTAGAATCTGCATTTGAACCTGAAATTTTGACTATACTTTGCTCTGAACCAATTTATGATTCCTCTTTGAAAAGATCAACGGCTCCTCCATTGCTTGAACTTTTGGCGTTGTAATTTATATGATTTATGATACAAACAAGACTCTTAGTGTTTATTAATTGATAACTAGTTGTACTTTTTTCATTGAACAATCTTAATAAAATTTATTGTGTTATGACAATAAAATTCTTTAAGATTATTTTCTTCAAAAAGTATTATGATATTATAGTAAAATTCTCTAAGATTATTTTCATCTTAAACTGTATAGATAATAAAATGATCAGAACTAAAGTCGTCATCCTTAAGTCAGATGAAACACGGTTATATCATCATCTCATTATAATTTTATTAATATAAAGTCCACTTCTTTTTCATTCCAACCAAAGTATCAAATACAACTAATACGAAACAAATACGAAATTATGGGATTTCTAACAAAATATAAGTATAATAAAATAAACTATACTGAATTATACTATTTAGTTTCCACAAGTTAATTGTAAGGAAACATATTTTTCAAGTCAAAATTTAGCAAACAAGAAAATTAAAATGAACTTAAACGACTCCACACACAACACAGGCGAGAATTTACATATCGAAATAGACGAAGAAGAAAATCAATCGGCGCCTCCTCTCGAGGATCTTCACAAACAAAGTTATATTTCCGTTTTTGGTTGTTGCTTTGGTGGGCTGTACTACACGTTTCAGTCCGAATACAAATTTGTGCGGCTGTTAGCACTTCAGTCTTTTTGTATAGGACTTTTGGACTGTTTAATAATGACTCTTGCATTTTACTATGCCTCTTCGACACGAGTTCCAATAGTCGCATTATCAATAGCGTTTTCTTTACTGACGTATGCCGCACAAATCATCGCGTGTTTCATGGGATTATTATACCGGAAATTCTTTGGGATCTTCCCTTTCAATTTGTGTGGACGAACGTCGTCGAGTGCCTTTATGCCTGATGCCCAAGAGAAGTGAATCTATTCATTGGTATCACTTTAATTTATTCCACTCACATAGAACAAAATGAATAAAAACGCATTGTATTTAACACATAAGAATAATAGAATGGCGATCAATCACAACACTCTTCAATCGGATGATTTGGCGCATTTGTACAACACAGAAACTTGAAGATCTTTTCGAGCACTGGATATTCCCAGATCTTGATATAATGATTGTCAACAATATAATAACAACACTCACATGAATAATCGAAGTATTGAGTTGGGAGGACAGCCTCAAGTTCTCCAAAAATGAAGACCACAACTATTAAAATTTCTATTGGAATGATTGTCACTGAAAAGGACCAATCGACCAATCCATCAAATTTTAAACACACAAAGACAATGACCACATACAGATATATAAACCCATACGAATGAATACATTGACAACACTCACATAACGTCGTGCCTTGTGCAGTCTCTTCTAATAAGGGATCATAACACCCAAAACACGCACTTTTGAATAAAGTGTCTGATAACAAATTGATGGTGCAATACACACTTTGCATCACTATATAGAAGATTATTAACACCATTAAGGGTAATGTACATAAAAAGTAATACCCATCCATTACTCCACTCGCTTGTAACACTAATAATAACATACTCACAAAGACGAAAAACATAAAGGGGACAACACGTGTCAACCACCACGTCTCAAACTTGGGACGTGCAAATGCCCATGGTAACATATTACACGAAAAACACCCAAAAAAGGTCGATGCAAATGTGAAGACAGTGAAGGGCACAAGTATCCCCCACCCTTCGATTTTCCCTTTACAGAACAAACAGAAGAGAAGTAACGTCATAAAAAGGACAATTGGCAATAAATGGAACCACGACCGTTTCTTACTGAAGTAATATAACTGCCGGAGATATGAAAACATCCCCGAGTAGATTTGGAAGTCCCGATTGTTCCTTCCCATAAATTCCATCTTCTCGTTCAGCGCAGTGAAGAATGAAAACATCGAGTAAAACCCCGGGAAGATGACTTGTAAGATCGTAAAGACTACGGTGAAGAACACCACACCCGTCTCATTCGTTTGGCGATCAAAATATAACCCACCAAGTAAAAACATCAGAAATAGACTCGCAAACGATAGAACGTCGACAACTACGTTTTGCATCACCCGTCGCCCAATCAGCCCAATCCGAACTAAGTTCCGCGTATGCAGCTGCCCCTTTAATCTCTCTTTAAACTTCTTCTCAACCGCAG